TGGAAGCTGTGCGTGATTATAATGACGAATCCAAAAAGGTTCCATATCCCCTTGTAATAAGTGCAAAAAAAGGTGGCAATGTGGCTCGTTTTATGAACCATAGTTGTTCACCTAACGTTTTCTGGCAGCTTGTTGTACGTGAAATCAACAATGAGACATTCTACCATGTTGCGTTTTTTGCCATTAGACATATTCCTCCCATGCAAGAATTGACTTTTGACTATGGCATGGTTCCACCAGACAAAGCAGATCGAAGGAGGAAGAAATGCTTATGTGGGTCATTGAACTGTAGAGGGTATTTTTACTAGTTGTCATGGTTACAGAAATGGAGTTCACTAGTCAACACCGTATCGAGGTATGGTTTCCTTTTTAAATATAAAAGTATCTCGTTTCTTTCATTCTACTGCTCGTTTTGTGTTCTAATCCATGGTTGCTGGTTATCATGTGAACATATTTTATGTAGAATTCTGAATAGCATTTTAGCTGTATAAAGTTAGTTGCTTCATCTCCATTGATTTTACGAATTGAAGTGATTTTGGAGATCTCTTGTTCTACCTTTTGATCTATACTTGTGCCTACTCAGATAAGGTGGCAGGGGATCTATGTTTCCCTTCATATTCAGGTTTCCCAGTTTGCTCCTGCTTTCTCTTTCTTTAATCTGATAATTACAGTCCTTGCATACCATATTGGGGGGCACAATTTAATAGAGGCATAGAGCAAAAGGGATTTAATAAATTGTTAACGAGGGAGCAAGATGTGTGGTTGATTTGCCATGGCTTGTTAAATGAGTATCTTTTTTTTTAAATAAGTGGTTTTGTTAAATGAGTATCTATTTAGCTTAATATCATCTTTGTTCTTGAAAAGTAAGCTTAATTTCATCTAGCAAATAAATGATAGTACCATTAAGGTACCGCTAGGTACAAGATATATACAAAAAGAAGTTGGACATTCTTTAAGTAATTAAGTCATCTGTGAGGTCTAAGCATTGGTTCTATGTCATTTTCATTATTTCATTTACCCTAGAATTTTAAATTATACAGACATCTATGTTCTTCTTTTTCTATTTTCTCTTCTAAACATCTACGTTTCGTTCTAACCAAACTATCCAACAGAAGATATTGTTCTCCATAGGTTTCCACATCCTTTCTGAACCTTTATTCCTGTGAGCTAGCCTGTTTGTTTTACATTCCATGGCATCACCCAGTGAACTCCATAATTACTCCTAAACATGCTCCATATTTGCCCTGAAATTGCAATGCAGCATCAGTATCTGTCTTGCTGGTTCAACATCTTCGCATAAGAAACACCTGATGCATCTATTTAATCCTCATTGTAGATTGTCCAGTGTGAGACATGCCTCGTGTACTGCTATAGATCCATAACGAGCCATTTGTTTTGGAGTTTTTGTTCTCCACAACTTTTTCTAGGGCCAGTGATCTGACTCGTAAACTTCCTCTTAAACAAGGTTTGGTAGAACGATTTGACAGAAAATTCACCTTCACTAGTCCTTCCTGTTTTCAATGCAATTACTTGTTCCAGTAGTTGTAGTGATGATGTAACCCTAACAATCTTCCAATCGTTAAAGTTTCTTCTAAATCCTATCTTCCATTCAAATCCATTCCAATCACCGTGCAACTATAATCTATTTATCAATTGTCTGATGGAAGATATCTAACAAGTTGTTTATCAATGTACCATTTTCTGTCCATTTATCCAGCCACAATCTGATAATTGGACCATTTCCAACTGATCCAAAATTGATCTTGCAGATCACTGATTTGTCTCCAAACAGCCACACCATATGACCTGTTAATTGGCTTTGTGCACCATTTGTTCTCCATTCTATATTTGTAATTGATCACTCTTTTTCATAGCTAGCTATCTTTTCCAGAATTGAATCTTCAATGCCATTTGAACAAGAGATTTTCATTGTTTAATCTAGAGTTCTTAATGTGCAAGCTACCATCTGTTTTAACTTTCATCGCTGTGGTTCATTTTTCTTCAATCTTGGTTTCTGCGCTGTAGAAAATTGCACCTGCTTATGTAAACCTTGACATGAAGTATGTAAGAAAAACCCCCCAACGTACTGTCCAATCCCCC